TAAGAAGTGTGATCCCCCTATAGTTGGAACACACCCTCCAGTCCCCCTTCTTATACAGAGGGACCACCACCCCGGTTTGCCAGTCCAGAGGCACTGTCCCTGACCGCCACACGATGTTGAAGAGGCGTGTCAGCCAAGACCCACAACATCCAGAGACTTCAGGTACTCAGGGCGGATCTCATCCAACCCCGAAGCCTTGCCACCAAGGAGCTTTAACCACCTCAGTGACTTCAGCCAGGGTGATGGATGAGTCCGCCTTCGAGTCCCCAGCCTCGGCCTCCTCCTCGGAGGATGTGACGGTGGGATTGAGGAGATCCTCAAAGTATTCCTTCCACCGCCAGACAATGTCCCCAGTCGAGGTCAGCAGCTCTCCCCCCGCACTGTAAACAGTGTTGGTGAAGAACTGCTTCCCCCTCCTGAGGCGCCGGAGGGTTTGCCAGAATCTCTTTGAGGCCGTCCGATAGTCCTTCTCCATGGCCTCCCCGAACTCCTCCCAGCTCCGAGTTTTTGCCTCCGCGACCACACGGGCTGCAGCACGCTTGGCCCGCCGGTACCTGTCAGCTGCCTCAGGAGTCCCCCGAGCCAGCAAGGCCCGATAGGACTCCTTCTTCAGCCTGATGGCATTCCTTACTTTTGGTGTCCACCACCAGGTTTGAGGATTGCTGCCACGACAGGCACCACAGACCTTATGCCAACAGCTACGAGCCGCTGCATCGACAATAGAGGCCGAGAATGAAGCCCACTCAGACTCCATGTCCCCAGCCTCCCCCGGAATCTGGGAGAAGTCCTCCCGGAGGTGTGTGTTGAAAGCCCCCCTGACAGAGGCTCCGCCAGACGTTCCCAACAGACCATCACTACACACTTGGGCCTGCCAGGTCTTTCCGGCTTCCTCCTCCGCCAGCGAACCCAACTCACAACCAGGTGGTGATCAGTTGACAGCTCAGCTCCTCTCTTCACCCGAGTGTCCAAGACACACGGCCGGAGATCTGATGACACGACTACAAAGTCGATCATCGACCTCTGGCCTAGGGCATCCTGATGCCACGTGCACTTATGGACACCCTTGTGCTCGAACAAACTGACTAGCACAGATGTTCAATAACAGAACACCACTCGGGTTCAGATCAGGGAGGCTGTTCCTCCCAAACACGCCTCTTCAAGTGTCACTGTTATTGCCCACATGGGTGTTGAAGTCCCCCAGTACAACAACGGAGTCTCCCGGTTGGTGTACTGTCCAGTACCCCTCCCAGGGACTCCAAGAAGGTTGGGTACTCTGCACTGCTGTTCGGCTCCACAGTGAGAGACCTGTCCCCGACCCGAAGGCGCAGGGATGTGACCCTCTCATTCACCGGGGTGAACTCCAACACACAGTGGCTGAGCTGTGGGGCAATGAGCCCACACCAGCTTGCCGCCGCTCCCCACGGCCAATGCTAGAGAAATTGAGAGTCCAGCCCCTCTCAAGGAGTTGGGTTCCAGAGCCCAAACTGTGCGTGGAGGTGAGGCTGACTATATTTAGTTGGTAACGCTCAACATCCCACACAAGCTCAGGCTCCTTCCCCCCCAGCGAGGTGACATTCCATGTCCCCAGAGCCACAGTCTCCATGTCCAGAGATCCGATCGCTGAGGTCCCTGACGTCGACTGCTGCCCAGATCTCTCTGCACTGGCCCCATATGGTGGTGGGCCCACGTGAGGACGAGAAGGCCCGGCCACCAGGCGCTCACTGGTGAGCAACCACCTCAGGCCTGGCTCCAGGGTGGGGCCCCAGTAACACCGATACAGGCAACGTCACTGACCTCTGAATGGGAATCATCATATAGGGCTTCTGAATCACTCTTCGTTTGACCCGTCCCCCAGGACCTGTTTGCCTTGGGTGACCCTACCAGGGGCGTGAAGCCCCAGACAACATAGCTCCCGGGATCATTCGGGCACTCAAACCCCTCCACCATGATAAGGTGGCAGTTCAGGGAGGGGACTTCATACTTTTTGCAAATCATTATTCAGTTGTGACATTATCCTATTCCATAAACATAAAACATAAAATTTTACTTTTTATATATCATATGTATACATATAAATATAAGAATGTTATAAAAAATATAATTCTTTGTTTGTGCACTCATCAGGTCCCAATCAGCCCAAAGAACAAAGAGAAATCAATAAAGCACAACAGCTCGGGTCTTAGGAGGTTAAGCAGTAAAATGCATTTTATTAAAATGAAAGCCAATGTTTTTTACAGCGTGGAATAATTTTTCATCCTTATGTAACCGTATTGAACTAAATGTTTGGGGGTTTTTTGGTTTTCCAGTATAACATTTTTAATCACTTTTATTGAATTACTACAGCCATTCATATGGTCATGGTCACATTTTTCTATAGCGCTTTTCCACCTTCAAGGCTCAAAGCGCTTTACAACAAGGAACCACTCACCCATTCACACACCAGTGTATGCAGACACTGTGGGCAAGGTGGGTTAAGTGTCTTGCCCAAGGACACAGCAACAGCATGCATCTGTGGGAGCTGGAATCACATCAGCAACCTGTGGGTCAGTGGATCTGATGCTCAACCTTTCACAATTAGAATAACTGAGCTGTCCATTCATTGTATCTGTTATATTTTGCTAAATAGATTTAAATTATTAATGAAAAAGTTAGTAAGATAATTGACCATTTTTACTGTATTTTTCTTGAACAGTGCAGTTTGAAGCATTTCACTAAACAGATTTAGTGCAGAGATTTTGTATTTTTCCCAGAATAAATCCAGCGAAGTGCCTTAATTCTAGAGATGATCTTTGCAGTATAACTGATGGTCCAATCTTCAGTACTTCGACTTTTCTTCTAAAATGATTTATTATTATTATTATTATTTTATTATTATTATTATTATTATATTAATTAACTTATTTATTAATCATTTACGATTATTAATACCAATAAGAAATAATGAGACTCTACAGAGGCTAGATGCCTCTAGATATATAGAATATACTTCTCAGGAGAGTTGGGGCTCCCTGTGTTAGTGTGGCAGAGTGGTTATCCTGTTCTCCCTGTCACCAGGAGGTTGTGGGTTAGACTCCTGTTGTCTCTGAGTGAAGTGTACATGTGCTTCTTAGTTACTGTTCCAGTATGGGACTCTTTAGTTTTAGCTCCAGTGGCTCCGTTTTGTCTGTGCAGTTTAGGTCTCAGGTGAGTCCCTACCTGTGTGGTCTGGGCCAATCAGAGCAGAGTGTTCCAGGAAGTGCCCTGTGCCCCTGTGTGTGTGTGTGTGTGTGTGTGTGTGTGTGTGTGTGTGTGTGTGTATGCGTATGCGTGTGTGTGTGTGTGTGTGTGTTTGTGTGTGTGTGTGTGTATCTGTGTGTGGCTCTGGTTTCTTGGGATCGTTCCACTTCACAGACACAGCTCAAGCACCTGAAACCTGTGTGACCCCGAGCTTCACCTGGATCGACCCCGTGAACATATTTCACTATCTCAACTTCTGCTCTTCTGGAATAAACAACTGTCAGTTGTTCTGGTGCAGTTCATCTGATGACTGAAATGGTTTAAAAACCCAGAGGAGCTTCATGGATTAAACTGGCTGACCCGAACCTGAACCTGTCAGCTCCAAGGAGGGAATCTGTGAAAAAGGGTCAGGAGAATCTGCAAATAAAAACTCTGATCAAACCAAACCTGTCCTCATTTATACTGGCAATTTAAGTTTTTATGAACATAAGCACATGTGTGAGGCCTGAACACGTGTGAGGCCCGAACACACGTGTGAGGCCCGAACACACGTGTGAGGCCCGAACACACGTGTGAGGCCCAAACACGTGTGAGGCCTGAATACGTGTGAGGCCAGAACACGTGTGAGGCCCGAACACACATGTGAGGCCCGAACACACGTGTGAAACCTGAACACACGTGTGAGGCCTGAACACGTGTGAAACCTGAACACATGTGAGGCCTGAACACGTGTGAAACCTGAACACACATGTGAGGCCTGAACACGTGTGAAACCTGAACACATGTGAGGCCTGAACATGTGTGAAACCTGAACACATGTGAGGCCTGAACACATGTGTGAGGCCTGAATACGTGTGAAACCTGAACACACGTGTGAGGCCTGAACACACATGTGAAACCTGAACACGTGTGAAACCTGAACACATGTGAGGCCTGAACACATGTGTGAGGCCTGAATACGTGTGAAACCTGAACACACGTATGAGGCCTGAACACATGTGTGAGGCCTGAACACGTGTGAAACCTGAACACATGTGTGAGGCCCGAACACATGTGTGAAACTTGAACACACGTGTGAGGCCTGAACATGTGTGAGGCCTGAACACATGTGTGAAACTTGTGTGTGCGAACTGAACATAAACACACGTGTGAGGCTTGGACACATGTGAGGCCTGAACACATGTGTGAGGCCTGAACACATGTGTGAGGCCTGAACATAAACACACATGTGAGTCCTGAACACATGTGTGAGGCCTGAACACAAGTGTGAAACCAGAACACACGTGTGAGGCCTGAACACATGTGTGAGGCCTGAACATAAACACGTGTGTGAGGCCTAAACACATGTGTGAAACCTGAACATGTGTGTGAGGACTGAACATAAACACACTTGTGAGGCTTGGACACATGTGAGGCCTGAGCACAAACACACGTCACAGCTTCAGACTGAACAGCTGCAGGGTTCAGATCACTGTCTCCACGATGTGTAACTCATTGTTTTTTCATTTCATGGGCAGTTTGTGTTTTGACTGAATGTTTTTGGCCTCTAGGTGGCAGTGTGGCAGTACAGAAGTAGTTTTCTCTTCAAAGTTCATTCTCAAAATAAGATTATAATTCTGTAAACAGAAATTAGACATTTTATGTTAAAGTTTATTCACTAATTTGATCTCTTGTTTTTTATATCAAGTGGCAAATTAATGTATGTGAAATGTAATGTAATGTGAAATTGAGGCAGAAAAAGACAGAGTGTTTTCAAACTTTATTTTAGTTTCACACAAATTAGACTTTATTATCACAGATATAGACACATATTTAAACAGACACCAGTCGGATGCACAGCAGGTATTTATTTATAATTTTAGACACATTTCTTTAGAGAAACTAACAAACATTTACAGCCAGCCAACAACACCACGCTTTGACCAATCAGAGAGCTGCTGGTCGATGAACAGACCAATCACAGCTCACCGCTGGCCAGTGGAACGCCCTCCTGTAAAAACAAGCCTTGAATTAAAATGGAAACTGCACCCTGTTATTGTGAGGATGTGTGCATGGGCTCCAGCGTAGACGTATCATAACAGTGGTGTAGTAATAATATATATATATATATATATAAAATATAGTAATGTCAGTAAAGTATAGTTAAGTTTAGTACTTATAGTATTTGTTCTGAAAAGTAAAGGACATTTTATTAGTGGAAAATACTGTTCTTTTGTTTACTTTACTAGATAAAACTTTAGAATGAGAGGAATGAGGATGGATCAGAGCCTAAAATAGTTTGAGTGAACTTAAGATTTTCATTTACAGTAAAAACTTGTTTATCGTAAGCACACTCCCTCCATGTTTATTTTTACCGTAAAAATTCACTCTCTTCCTTGATCGTAAGTCAGTTTGAGATAATGATAAGAATGTGCCCTTTCAGTCACAGCCACTGCACAAAACACGGTCACATTTAAAGTTGAGTGAATAGCACTGTCAGTTTGTTGTGTCTTTGGGCAAGACACATACCAAATGGTCATGGCCAATAGTAATAAATAATGGTTTATTATAAAAGAGAATATTTGTAATCATAACAAAAACATATGATTACATAATGTGATTAAAGACACAGGATATTCAGGTTTTACAGGTTTGAGTCTGAAACAGGGTCAAGAAACCAGTCTAAATTTTAAATGATTTTTTGGTTAAGTTAAAATAAATGCTGTTTGAATGGGACAGTGTGAGGTTTACCTGTTGAGCCTCTTCTACGCCATCGCTGAAAACACAAACACACAAATGTCACAACAATCAGAAAGTCAAACTACAAACACCCGAATCATGTGAACTGAGTCATGTGAGTTACCCTCAGTGACGGCAGTGGCAGAGTCGTCGTCCCTGGGTGTTGCTAAAAGAACAGAATTATTAGAATTAGAATTATAGAATTAGAACTAGTCCTGGTTTTGCTCTAGTTTAGTCTTGGTTTAGTCCTGGTTTAGTCTCAGATTAGTCCTGGTTTAGTACAGGTTTAGTCCTAATACCTTCTGTGGACTCCAGACTGTGGTCAAACAGGTCTGGATCTTTTTGGTCTCCGTCGTTCGTCTCCATGTCTGAAGTGTCTGAGGTGACGTCTTCAGTCGTTTGAGTTGTCGCTGGCTCCTCTCCCTGTTCCTTTTCTTCTTCCTCCCTCTCTTCGACCGTCATGTCCTCTGACTCTGTTGCCTCTTCGTCGCTGGTTTGCTCCTCAGAATCTGAATCGATTTCATGCTCTTCATCCTCCTCAGGCAGCACCATCTCATCATCTTCATCTTCATCATCTTCATTGGACTCTGACTCCACAGTCACGACAGAGAAAAAAACAGAAGATCAACAGAAGAAAAACAGAAGATTAACAGGTGCCAGAGGAGGGTCAAAAGTCAGGGGAGGGTCAGGGAAGGGTCAAAGGTCAGAAGAGGGTCAAAGGTCAGGGGAGGGTCAAAGGTCAGGGTCAAAGGTCAGGGGAGGGTTAGAGGAGGGTCAAAGGTCAGGGGAGGGTCACAGGACATTGCTTTGCTCTAAATACCTGGCTCAGAGTCATGTTTCTCAGCAGCGCTGTCGACATCGGTGTCTGCGGGGAAATAAACGGTTAAAGATGTGAAACCTTTGAGTGTTTTCTGTTTGGAATGAGGACATACCGGTCTCAGACGCAGAAATGTTCTCTTCACCTGAAACACAAAGCAGTCACTTAAACTAGGCTCCTAACAGTGAGCAGACCTTTCAGCTGAAGAACTGCTCTGGATCTGATGGAAATGATCGCATCAGCTTTAACTTGTTCTTCACTGTATTTATTCATTTATTTGAGGCTAATTCCCTACAGAAAGCACAAACACAAGCGAAGAGTTTTTAACCTGTTTCTGTCATCTCCTTGCTTTGAGACTCTTCAGATTCATCCTCCGCGTCATCCTCTGTGTCTCCATCACTGTCTGTCTCTGAACTCTCTGAGCTTTTGTCTTCTGAATCCTCTACACTCTCCTCTGTACTTTCACTGACCTGAAAGCCCTCCAAAAGTACTTTGGCCTCCTCTGAGTCCTTCTCTTGACTGTCCACATCTGTGCCCTCAACCACCTCTGCACTCAGGGAGTCTGCACCCTCCTCCTCCTCTGCGTCCCCCTCTACACTTTCCTCCTTTGTATCCTCCTCTGTTTCCTCTGAGTCTGCACCCTTCTCCTCTAAACTCTTCTCCTCTGCACCCATTGAGTCCACATCCCCCTTGTCTGCAACATCCTCATCTGCAACATCCTCCTCTGTAGCCTCCTCCTCTGTAGCCTCCTCCTCTGTAGCCTCCTCCTCTGCACCCTCCTCCTCTGCACCCTCCTCCTCTGCACCCTCCTCCTCTGCACCCTCCTCCTCTTGGCTTGGGCTGTTTTCAGGAGCAGAAGTTGAATTATCTTGCAGGTCTTCCTTTTCACTCTTGTCGTCTCCTCCTGAAAGATGAACACTACTTTATTAACGTTGCTGTACCTACAAAATTATTTAAGCTCAGATGACCTTCCGCACATCTTTCTCTCTTTCCTGCTCACCTTCAGATTTCAACTCAGAGTCTGTTTCAGAGCTTGGTCCTTGATCCAGACTGGACTCCTGATTAGGTTCAGACTCAGAGTCGTCTGAAATAGATTGTACTTTTAGCTGTTTTATGATGCAAGCTTTTTCAGTCACATGTTGGTTTAGTCCTGGTTTCGTCCTCTTACCTATCGAGCTCTGCGGAGCAGAGTTGGAGTCAGGACTTTCAGTTCCAGGAACTTCTGATCCATCAGAACCTGCAACAAAAACAGGATTCAGCCAAAACTAAATTAGAACTAAACCGGGACTAACCTAGAACTAATCCAGAACCAGGCTTTAACAGAACTTTACTCACATGTAATAAAGTAAATGCAAGTTTAAACAGTTTTTATAGCCTGTAAAGGAGATCGTTCAACACTTCACTCTGCTCTGATAATACCAGTGACCCTGATCAGGATATGTTCACGATCACCAATATTTCAGACCATGAAGTTTCCAGGCTTAAAAAAATCTAAAGCACTTGATGCATTTGGTCTAAATACACATTTTCTGAAAGAATTTAAGAATTGTCTTGTACGACCCTTCACCATCTCCTCAATATGTCCTTCAAACATTTGGTTGTTTCAACTGATTAAACAACTGAAAATAGCTGCGGTGACACTAATTTTTAAATCAGGTGCTAAAACAGACATGGATAATTATCGGCCAATAAGCATACTTCCTTTTATATATAAAATAGAGAAGAGGGTAGTTAAACTCCTTACTGTTCATGTGGAAAACACCCAGCCCTCACTACACCCACTACAGTTTCACTTTGGGTCCATCACTCCACAGGTGCTGGCCAGTGTTATTCTCTCTTTTTATTAATAATTTACCAAATGTTTGCCCAAATGTGACCTCACAGATGTATGTATGTACACTCATCTACACTCACAGCTGCTGATGACCTCAGTTGTCCTATTGTCTGTGCATCTCTGGCTCAAGGATTCGTGCCTCTTGTTAAACAACAAAAAAACTGGATGTGTTTCTCAAAACGTCACACCGAATTGAAGCGATCAGTTTTTTTCCTAATGGAGTAGAACTTATAGAATTTAATACCCTGATGTTATATGTTATTCTAGATTCTCTGTCCTTTAGAAGTCATGTAAAAAAAAGTGTCCCAGGTCCTATTCAATAATCAGGAACAACTTAAACATGAACGCTGCTAAAACTTATTTCTACTCCATGATTATTTCTCACATAGAAGATTGTTTAACCACTTGGCCTCACAACACTTAAAACCATTGAAGAGTCCAAAAATACGTGATAAAAAACTAATTTCCCACCACCACTATCACATTCTGAAAAAGCCCAGGCTTTTGGACTTCAGCAACATGGTCGTCCTTAAAAGTTTTGTCTAATTTATAAAGTCTTATACTCCCTCGACCAACACCACTAAAGGAGAACATCAAATAAAAACAGATCAGAAAGAACCACAACCAGAGGAGATCAGGACAAACTACAGACAGAACCACAACTCTAACTCACTGACAGAGTCCTACAGCTCTAACACCGACAGAGTTCTACAGCTCGGCAAAATAATGTGTGCAATTGTGAAACGACTGGACTGTGCAATGAAAGGAGTGTGCAATATTTTTGGACTGTGCAATAAGGGGAACTGTGCAATTACTGGACTGTGCAATATTGTGTTGTTTGTTTGTGACCCAGCAGATGAAATGAGAGTTTATAATCCGGTGTTTCATTCATGTCGTATCGTGTCTGTCCATTAACTCTGTCCCAATCAAATAAATAAACTCATGACCAAACTAGGCTCACCTAAACCTGTTCCAAACCTGGACTAAATCAGGACCAAGTACCTGTTTGGTCAGTGCTGGTCTCTGCAGACGGAGCTGAGGAGATAAAAGAAGAATTAGTCTGACACAAAATGGCCGCTGCTCTATGATGTGAAATGCTTGACACAAAATGGCCACTGTTGTAGTTTCACCTTCCGTTGTTTCTCCAGAGTCGGAGCTGTCTGAAAACACAGGCACTTTAATACAGCGCTTACCACAACTTTCAGGTGCTCAGAAAGAAATCCAGGTGAGTTTACCTGTGGGGGCGGGGCCAGACGTGGGGGCTTCTGTTAAACACAGAGAGGTCATGTGACTAAACCACGAAGTGACTAAAGCAGCTCTTAGTTTAAGTCAAAATACAATAAAAGTATAAAAAGTATAAATGTTATGTCAGTGTTGGTGTGAAGAGTAAAATAAAGTCTCACTGTCGTCTGACGGAGGATCGTCTGCAAAACAAAAACACCTCCTTTTGAAAAAGGCTCAAATTAAAAAAGAGTAAATTAGGATTTTAGTGTCTGACCTGGAAGTGGAGCCGAAAAAACCACCGAGACGAGAGAAAGTAACATCACCACGGCAACGCACCTGAAACAAACAATAAACCAGGTCTAAACCAGGACTAAACCAGGACTAAACCAGGTCTAAACCAGGTCTGAACTGGGTCTAAACCAGGACTGAACCAGGTCTAAACCAGGACTGAACCAGGACTAAACCAGGACTGAACCAGGACTTAACCAGAACTACACCAGAACTAAACCAGAACTGAACCGGGACTGAACCAGGACTAAACCAGAACTGAACTGGGACTAAACCAGGATAAACCAAAACTAAACCAAGACTACAACAGAACTAAACCAGAACTACACCAGGACTGAACCAGGTCTGAACCGGGTCTAAACCAGGACTGAACCAGGACTGAACCAGGACTGAACCAGGACTGAACCAGGATTGAACCAGGTCTAAACAGGACTAGACCAGGTCTGGGTGTGGTCACATTTGTTTCTGTGCTTCTGTTTTCTTCAAAGTCAAATGGCAAATGCAAATTGACGACTGGATTTGAATCTGAACACCTGAAAGGTCCATCTAAAGACCTGGAATCTACCTCCACTTCACCCCCTCAGACTGAGTCAGATGCCCTCCCGTCCCTCTGTGTGTCAGATGCCCTCCCGTCTCTGTGTGTCAGATGCCCTCCCGTCTCTCTGTGTGTCAGATGCCCTCCCGTCTCTCTGTGTGTCAGATGCCCTCCCGTCCCTCTGTGTGTCAGATGCCCTCCCGTCTCTGTGTGTCAGATGCCCTCCCGTCTCTGTGTGTCAGATGCCCTCCCGTCTCAGATGTGTCTCTGTGTGTCAGATGCCCTCCCGTCTCTCTGTGTGTCAGATGCCCTCCCGTCTCTGTGTGTCAGATGCCCTCCCGTCCCTCTGTGTGTCAGATGCCCTCCCGTCTCTGTGTGTCAGATGCCCTCCCGTCTCTGTGTGTCAGATGCCCTCCCGTCTCTCTGTGTGTCAGATGCCCTCCGTCGTCTCTGTGTGTCTCTGTGTGTGTCAGATGCCCTCCCCGTCTCCTGTGTGTCAGATGCCCTCCCGTCCCTCTGTGTGTCAGATGCCCTCCCGTCCTCTGTGTGTCAGATGCCCTCCCGTCCTCTGTGTGTCAGATGCCCTCCCGTCCCTCTGTGTGTCAGATGCCCTCCCGTCCCTCTGTGTGTCAGATGCCCTCCCGTCTCTCTGTGTGTCAGATGCCCTCCCGTCCCTCTGTGTGTCAGATGCCCTCCCGTCCTCTGTGTGTCAGATGCCCTCCCGTCCTCTTGTGTTTTTATGTTTAACTTTTGGAGCATGACAGAGAAACACTGGCTCCTTCTGAGAGAGTGCACTGAACACCTGCAGGAGCCCTCCTCATCTGTGAATCTGATACAAGCTTCTAACACTGCTTTAATTTAGAGACACCCCCCATGCACATATGTGCACATGCACACACACACACACACACACACACACACACACACACACACACACACACACGCACACACACACACAGGACAGATCGGTGTCAGACAGCTCAGTCTGGCCTGTGGGCACTGGAGCATTCAGACAAAGAACAACAGTGAATGAAGAGAGCACAACACAAGTCTGAGCCAGAACCAGGTCTGAGCCAGAACCAGGTCTGAGCCAGGATTCTGGTCTGGTCTCTTGTGTGGTCTGAACCTGTTTTACGATGTTTAGTTAAAGTCCATAAATAGTGTGAGCCCTGAACAGTTGAGTGAACACAGACTCATCAGAAGCAGCTCAGAAAAGAGCAGAGACAAAACTAGAACACGCCTCAGGATATATTCGTCATGACGCCTTTCAGCTGTTCAGAACACTCATATTCATAATAAAATAAAATGTCAAATAAACAAACTCAAATAAATTGTTCACACTGTGAAGAGCCCAGGCTCACACACCTTTCAGCTGTTCAGAACTACGCCTTGTTTCCACATTTTCCTTCGTTCATTTTCCTATTTCCACATCAGTCACATGTTTGTGTTTGTTCTCCGCAGAGTTCTGTCCATCAGGGGACTCAAACACACACACCTCTTTCTATCCCTCTCTCCCTCTATCCCTCTCTCCATCTCTCCCTCTCTCCCTCTATCCCTCTCTCCCTCTATCCCTCTCTCCCTCTATCCCTCTCTCCCTCTCTCCCTCTCTCCCTCTATCCCTCTATCCCTCTCTCCCTCTCTCCCTCTCTCCTCTCTCTCCCTCTCTCCATCTCTCCCTCTATCCCTCTCTCCCTCTCTCCTCTCTCCCTCTATCCCTCTCTCTCATCCCTCTATCCCTCTCTCTCCTCTCTCCCTCTCTCTCTATCCTCTCTCCCTCTCTCCCTCTCTCCCTCTCTCCCTCTATCCCTCTCTCCCTCTCTCTCTCCCTCTATCCCTCTCTCCCTCTCTCCCTCTCTCCCTCTCTCCCTCTCTCCCTCTATCCATCTCTCCCTCTCTCCCTCTCTCCCTCTCTCCCTCTCTCCTCTCCCTCTATCCCTCTCTCCTCTCTCCCTCTCTCCCTCTATCCCTCTCTCCCTCTCTCCCTCCCTCTTTCTCTCCGTCTTTCTTTCTCTCTCTCTCCCTCTCTCCCTCTATCCCTCTCTCCCTCCCTCTTTCTCTCCGTCTTTCTCTCTCTCTCTCTCTCTCTCTCTCTCTCTCTCTCTGTTTGTTCCTGTCAGGCTCCGCCCCTGACAGGTGAGGTTCAGGTGTCAATCAACGTCATTCACAAATGCTCAGACAAATAGTTTACATTTCTATCTCTATATCTCTATATATATATACATATTATAGACACTATAGACATTCAGCATCAGAGGGCATCTGTTGTAAGACTCAGGTGTGTGTAGTGTGTCTCAGGTGTGTGTAGTGTGTCTCAGGTGTGTGTAGTGTGTCTCAGGTGTGTGTGTGTCTCAGGTGTGTGTAGTGTGTCTCAGGTGTGTCAGGTGTGTGTAGTGTGTCAGGTGTGTGTAGTGTGTCTCAGGTGTGTGTAGTGTGTCTCAGTGTGTGTCTCAGGTGTGTGTAGTGTGTCTCAGGTGTGTCTCAGTGTGTGTAGTGTGTCTCAGGTGTGTGTGTGTGTAGTGTGTCTCAGGTGTGTGTGTAGTGTGTCTCAGGTGTGTGTAGTGTGTCTCAGGTGTGTGTAGTGTGTCTCAGATGTGTGTAGTGTGTCTCAGGTGTGTGTCTCAGGTGTGTGTAGTGTGTCTCAGGTGTGTGTAGTGTGTCTCAGGTGTGTGTAGTGTGTCTCAGGTGTGTGTAGTGTGTCTCAGGTGTGTGTAGTGTGTCTCAGGTGTGTGTGTGTGTGTCTCAGGTGTGTGTCTCAGGTGTGTGTAGTGTGTCTCAGGTGTGTGTCTCAGGTGTGTGTAGTGTGTCTCAGGTGTGTGTAGTGTGTCTCAGGTGTGTGTAGTGTGTCTCAGGTGTGTGTAGTGTGTCTCAGGTGTGTGTAGTGTGTCTCAGGTGTGTGTCTCAGGTGTGTGTAGTGTGTAGTGTGTCTCAGGTGTGTGTGTGTCTCAGTGTGTGTGTCTCAGGTGTGTGTAGTGCGTCTCAGGTGTGTGTAGTGTGTGTGTCTCAGGTGTGTGTCTCAGGTGTGTGTAGTGTGTGTAGTGTGTGTCTCAGGTGTGTGTCTCAGGTGTGTGTAGTGCGTCTCAGGTGTGTGTAGTGTGTCTCAGGTGTGTGTCTCAGGTGTGTGTCTCAGGTGTGTGTAGTGTGTCTCAGGTGTGTGTCTCAGGTGTGTGTCTCAGGTGTGTGTAGTGTGTCTCAGGTGTGTGTCTCAGGTGTGTGTAGTGCGTCTCACCTGTGGAGCATGGTGTCGGTGTCGGTGTCGGGTCGGGGGTCAAAGGTGAAAGCAGCAGACTCTTCAGACTCTTCGGGCTCTTCGGAGCAGATCTGAGCAGCTCCACACTGACGGCCCTTTTATAACAGGCCCGGGACACGCCCACTCGGGCCCTAACCCCTCCCCTATAACACGTGGCCCCGCCCCCAGACCAGACCTGCTTCATTCCTCTGAGCCTGAAGAGAAAACGAGACTCTGCTGAGGAACAATCGCCCACTGAACAAATAAAAGCACACAGCACATTTAAACTACGGTACAAACATTTATCTACAGGATAAACTACAGGGTAAAGTACAGGATAAACTACAGGGTAAAGTACAGGATAAACTACAGGGTAAAGTACAGGATAAACTACAGGGTAAACTACAGGGTAAAGTACAGGATAAACTACAGGGTAAACTACAGGATAAACTACAGGATAAACTACAGGATAAAGTACAGGATAAACTACAGGGTAAAGTACAGGGTAAAGTACAGGATAAACTACAGGATAAAGTACAGGGTAAACTACAGGATAAAGTACAGGATAAACTACAGGGTAAACTACAGGGTAAAGCACAGGATAAACTACAGGGTAAACTACAGGGTAAACTACAGGATAAACTACAGGATAAACTACAGGATAAAGTACAGGATAAACTACAGGGTAAACTACAGGGTAAAGTACAGGATAAACTACAGGGTAAAGTACAGGATAAACTACAGGGTAAAGTACAGGATAAACTACAGGGTAAAGTACAGGATAAACTACAGGGTAAACTACAGGGTAAACTACAGGATAAACTACAGGATAAACTACAGGATAAAGTACTACAGGATAAACTACAGGGTAAAGTACAGGATAAACTACAGGGTAAAGTACAGGATAAACTACAGGGTAAAGTACAGGATAAACTACAGGGTAAAGTACAGGATAAAACTACAGGGTATAACAGGATAAACTACAGGGTAAACTACAGGGTAAACTACAGGGTAAAGTACAGGATAAACTACAGGGTAAACTACAGGGTAAACTACAGGATAAACTACAGGGTAAACTACAGGATAAACTACAGGGTAAACTACAGGGTAAAGTACAGGATAAACTACAGGGTAAAGTACAGGATAAACTACAGGGTAAAGTACAGGATAAACTACAGGGTAAAGTACAGGATAAACTACAGGGTAAACTACAGGGTAAACTACAGCGTAAACTACAGGGTAAACTACAGGATAAACTACAGGATAAACTACAGGGTAAAGTACAGGATAAACTACAGGGTAAACTACAGGGTAAACTACAGGGTAAACTACAGCGTAAACTACAGGGTAAACTACAGGATAAACTACAGGATAAACTACAGGGTAAAGTACAGGATAAACTACAGGGTAAACTACAGGGTAAACTACAGTCTACTGACATATTCATATACACATCACTATTACTGATTTATACACAACTACTACATAAACTACACAGTGTAATTGAACTTTCTGTTGTGGAACTTTCATGAGACACTACAGACAAGTGTAAAAACAAGAGTTAAATCATGGTTCAGTCCTGGTTTAGTCCTGGTTCAGTCCTGGTTCAGTCCTGGTTCAGTTTTGGTTCAGTCCTGGTTTAGTCCTGGTTCAGTCCTGGTTCAGTCTTGGTTCAGTTCTGGTTTAGACCTAGTTTAGTCCTGGTTTACACCTGGTTTAGTCCTGGTTTAGTCCTGGTTCAGACCTGATTTAGTCCTGATTTAGTCCTGGTTTAGAGCCTCTGTGTGTAAAGTCCTGACACACTACACACTTGAACGGTTCTTGTGACGCCTTTTCCACTGAAAAACTGTTTCCTCATTTTTATGTGAACATTTCCTGGTTTGTCCTGTCCTCCCTGTCACCAGGAGGTTTTGGGTTAGATTCCCTGTGTGACTGTGGCAGAGTGGTTATCCTCCCTGTCACCAGGGGGTTGTGGGTTAGACTCCCTGAATGGAGTTTCTGGCTCGGTGTTGCTCTGGGTTCGTTTGAGGACAGATTTAGACAGGACTGTAGATCACAGAACAAGCGAAGGTCCATAAAACGCCTGGCCTCGGTTCAGGTTCGAGGAGCGAATAGAAACGATTTGTAATGAGACACCGTTTAGTTCAGTTTAGGCCACATACAAACACTTTAATCTCACAAAAGAAACTAGATTTAGCTTCTGCTTCTGTCCATGTTTTTTACTGAGTGCCTTTAATGCCGGACTGTGTAACATTAACCCTGCCAGCACTCGGATCGGGAATAACTATATAAATCCAGGTAAGTCTGGCAAAACAAAGAACCAAGGCAGCCTATAATGGGAACGTACACACTTTTATTTAAACAAACGTATTAAAAATACTTTATTTTATAATATTTAAAAGTACAGTTTTGACTCAGTGGACGACACAATAAAAAGCAAGATTAGTAAAACAAACAAAACAAACAACCAAAAACAACTAGTTAAATTCTATATTTACATAGTTTATATTTATTTAAAATAAGCACTGCATGACAGTCAAAAGGTCCAATAACATGAGCCGGGGCTCTGGGCACAGCAGACGCCGTCCTCGGCTCCTTTAGCTCGTGCACCATCATCAGTCGACACAACCGCCCCAAACTGACCAGCTGGACGTGGCTCCCCGCAGCGGTGTGTTTACTGACTGTCAGACATGGCGTTATTAGGTTTACAGATTTGTTTCCCCAGTTACTTTCTACCCCCCTGAATGTCCCACTGATTAACAAGGAACTACTGGGACCAACAGTAAAATACGACTGTGACCCTAACCCCTTCTGGGAAAAGGGTCACAAACTTTTGGAGACAGGATCTGAGGGAACCAGAAGCACTGGGCTGGACGTTTCTCCTTGGACAGGTTCCATCGGTCTCCGCACTTCTTTCCATCACAGCTCCTCTGGACTTCCACCTCTGCAGATGTCAAGACCTTTGCTGAGATCCTCCTCTGCTTCTGCCGCTTCTCCTCACACCTTCGACACGGATCACAAACCTAAACTTTGGGCACATCTGTCCTTGGCACACGACACGTGGGCACAGTTTATAAAGACAAATCCCACACCCACAAACACAGACACCATCATGTGCCCAACCCCAACTCACCGTTACAAGACCGACATGATCCACACGACACCGTCAAAAGACACAAACTACACCCAAACACAAACTACACCCGGACACGAACTACACCCGGACACGAACTACACCCGGACACGAACTACACCCGGACACGAACTACACCCGGACACGAACTACACAAGGACACGAACTACACGAGGACACGAACTAACACACGAACTACACCGGACACGAACTACACAAGGACACGAACTACACCCGGACACGAACTACACGAGGACACGAACTACACCCGGACACGAACTACACAAGGACACGAACTACACCCGGTCACGAACTACACCCGGACACGAACTACACCCGGACACGAACTACACCCGGACACGAACTACACAAGGACACGAACTACACCCGGACACGAACTACACCCGGACACGAACTACACAAGGACACGAACTACACCCGGACATGAACTACACAAGGACACAAACTACACGAGGGCACGAACTACACCCGGACATGAACTACACAAGGACATGAACTACACAAGGACACGAACTACACCCGGTCACGAACTACACCCGGACACGAACTACACCCGGACACGAACTACACCCGGACACGAACTACACAAGGACACGAACTACACCCGGACACGAACTACACCCGGACACGAACTACACAAGGACACGAACTACACCCGGACATGAACTACACAAGGACACAAACTACACGAGGACACGAACTACACCCGGACATGAACTACACAAGGACATGAACTACACAAGGACACGAACTACACCCAGACACAAACTACACAAGGACACGAACTACACGAGGACACGAACTACACAAGGACACGAACTACACAAGGACACGAACTACACCCGGACACGAACTACACAAGGACACAAACTACACGAGGACACGAACTACACAAGGACACGAACTACACAAGAACACGAACTACACCCGGACATGAACTACACCCGGACACGAACTACACCCGGACACGAACTACATGAGGACACGAACTACACCCGGACACGAACTACACAAGGACACAAACTACACGAGGACACGAACTACACCCGGACATGAACTACACGAGGACACGAACTACACGAGGACACGAACTACACCCGGACATGAACTACACAAGGACATGAACTACACAAGGACACGAACTACACCCAGACACAAACTACACAAGGACACGAACTACACCCGGACACGAACTACACCTGCACACAAACTACACAAGGACACGAACTACACGAGGACACAAACTACACCTGGACACGAACTACACAAGGACACGAACTACACAAGGACATGAACTACGCCCGGACACGAACTACACAAGGACACGAACTACACAAGGATACGAACTACACCCGGACACGAACTACACCTGGACACGAACTACACAAGCACACGAACTACACAAGGATACGAACTACATGAGGACACGAACTACACCTGGACATGAACTACACCCGGACACAAACTACACCCGGACACAAACTACACCTGGACACAAACTACACCCGGACACAAACTACACCCGGACACGAACTACACCCGGACACAAACTACACAAGTACATGAACTACACAAGGACACGAATTACACCCGGACACGAACTACACAAGGACACAAACTACACCTAGACACGAACTACACAAGGACACAAACTACACAAGGACACGAACTACACAAGGACACGAACTACACCCGGACACGAACTACACCCGGACTCAAACTACACAAGGACACGAACTACACAAGGACACGAACTACACCTGGACACGAACTACACGAGGACACGAACTACATGAGGACACAAACTACACGAGGACATGAACTACACCCGGACACGAACTACACCCGGACACGAACTACACCCGGACACGAACTACACCCAGACACAAACTACACAAGGACACGAACTACACCCAGACACTAACTACACCCGGACATTAACTACACCTGGACACGAACTACACCCAGACACTAACTACACCCGGACATTAACTACACAAGGACACGAACTACATCCGGACACAAACTACACAAGGACACGAACTACACCCAGACACTAACTACACCCGGACATTAACTACACCTGGACACGAACTACACAAGGACACGAACTACACAAGGACACGAACTACACCCGGACACGAACTACACAAGGACACGAACTACATGAGGACATGAACTACACAAGGACACGAATTACACAAGGACACGAACTACACCCAGGACACTAACTACACCCGGACACGAAACTACACCCGGACACGAACTACACCCGGACACAACTAACTACACCTGGACACGAACTACACAAGGACACGAACTACACAAGGACACGAACTACACCCGGACACGAACTACACAAGGACACGAACTACATGAGGACATGAACTACACAAGGACACGAATTACACAAGAACACGAACTACACCCGGACATTAACTACACCTGGACACGAACTACACCCGGACACGAACTACACCCGGACTCAAACTACACAAGGACACGAACTACACAAGGACACGAACTACACCTGGACACGAACTACACAAGGACACGAACTACACGACACAAACTACACGAACACGAATACACCGGACACAATACTACACGAGGACATGAACTACACAAGGACACGAACTACACCCAGACACAAACTACACAAGGACACGAACTACACCCGACACGAACTACACGAACTACAAGACACGAACTACATGACACAAAACTACACGAGGACATGAACTACACCCGGACACGAACTACACCCAGACACAAACTACACAAGGACACGAACTACACAAGGACACGAACTACGCCCGGACACAAACTACACAAGGACACGAACTACACCCAGACACTAACTACACCCGGACACGAACTACACCCGGACACGAACTACACAAGGACACGAACTACACCCAGACACTAACTACACCCGGACATTAACTACACCTGGACACGAACTACACCCAGACACTAACTACACCCGGACATTAACTACACAAGGACACGAACTACACCCGGACACAAACTACACAAGGACACGAACTACACCCAGACACTAACTACACCCGGACATTAACTACACCTGGACACGAACTACACAAGGACACGAACTACACAAGGACACGAACTACACCCGGACACGAACTACACAAGGACACGAACTACATGAGGACATGAACTACACAAGGACACGAATTACACAAGGACACGAACTACACCCAGACACTAACTACACCCGGACACGAACTACACCCGGACACGAACTACACCCGGACATTAACTACACCTGGACACGAACTACACAAGGACACGAACTACACAAGGACACGAACTACACCCGGACACGAACTACACAAGGACACGAACTACATGAGGACATGAACTACACAAGGACACGAATTACACAAGAACACGAACTACACCCGGACATTAACTACACCTGGACACGAACTACACCTGGACACGAACTACACCCGGACATTAACTACACCTGGACACGAACTACACCTGGACACGAACTACACCCGGACATTAACTACACCTGGACACGAACTACACCTGGACACGAACTACACAACCATTTGGAGGAAAATAGCATTTAGCATTTTTATTTAATCATCTGTAATGGACATGTGACTCTTTTCATTTCGACTGAAATACCCTGTACCCTAACCTTACCCTGCTGGTTGTTCTATTCGCACCTGCCCTGCAGACACTTCCTGCCAAAGAAACTATCTCAAAGTAGGATGTAAAAAGTCCCAGAGCGGTGGCCTAATACAGTTCCTCCCCTGTGCGAAAGTATGTACAGTATTCAGTTCCTCAGTTTCAGTCACTGCAGCATTTTAAACCTATAGACTTTTCTCATTGACTTTTGATACAGTTTAGAGAATGACATCTTGGTTTTATATTTTAGATTATACATGTTTTTTCACTGTATTTTTATTTATTTATTAATACCATTGTTGTGTTATTTATGGAGTAAGAAAGCTGTCAAAAATATTTGTACGCATAAAATAGAAATCCGTGCGTATTTGGGAAATCGGTGCATATTTGGCTGTAGTTGCGCATAAAATAAATATTAGTAAACTCTCAAATGAGTCCAGTCGTACATAAAATATATTGTGTGTATTTTATCCATCAGAATACGAATTGAAAAATTACAACGTCATGAATTACAATCACGAAATGAAAATTTACGATTACACTTTCATCAGTACGAATACGAATTCACAGACGGAACTTTATTGTCAAAAATACATCATCACTTCACAGACATTATCCATCGAACAGAAGAAACATCGATCAAGATCAAGACTGTGCAGCTCAAGTTTGTAGCAGAGTAAAAACAGAGTAAAAGCACAAGAAGAAACAACAGAACAACAAGTGGGTTCATTAAAATCTATTGTAAAAATGTCTTGAATTCGGGAACCGAACGCTGCTGTATAATATTGTGTAGAAACACCTCCTTTGAACGGGAAATTGCACCTATATGTTAGAAAACATAGTGGAGCCAGTTGGCAACACCTGATATTTATTAATTATCCCAGGGATCATTAACAAATATCAGGTTCTCTGTGTGTTTAGATTAAAACATTCACGGCTACAGCCACAGCGAACATCAGTCAGTCTTCACTTCACTAATTTTTCAATTCGTATTCTGATGGATAAAATATACACAATATATTTTATGTACGACTAGACTCATTTAAGAGTTTACAAATATTTATTTTATGCGCAACTACAGCCAAATATGCACGGATTTCTATTTTATGCGCACAAATATTTTTGACAGCTTTCTTACTCTATAGTTATTGTTGCTGTCTAGCATTTTTGTAAGCTTAATTTGATTTGAAAGTGCTTGGCTCCTGTTCCCACAGTCGCTGCTGTGATGCTTCTGTATCTTCAAACTCTGCAGATTGGTCCTGATAAAAGTCACTGGAACAAACTTGAACCAACTTAGATCTGGTTCTCCAAAGGGAACCATCAGAGA